GGAATTAGTGCTCTGTATTTATCCCATCCAAAGTGCACACACACAGCAGTGAACACACACACACCGTGAACACACACCCGGAGCAGTGGGCAGCCATTTATGCTGCGGCGCCCGGGGAGCAGTTGGGGGTTCGGTGCCTTGCTCAAGGGCACCTCAGTCGTGGTATTGAAGGTGGGAGAGAGCGCTGTACATTCACTCCCCCCACCTACAATCACTGCCGGTACGAGACTCAAACCCACAACCTTTGGGTTATGAGTCCGACTCTCTAACCATTAGGCCACGACTTCCCTTAGAAGGCCACGACTTAGAAGAGATCTCATCATCATCACACACTGTGCTCAGACTTTTCTCCTACACTTTTCTCTCACATTTGTCTCCTCTGATATTGAGGTGATCTCAACAACTTTACAAAGTGTGCACCAAGTCAAATGTCTCAATATGAGCTCAAACATTTCTATCATATAATATGTGTTAATAATCAAATTAGTCAAGGACTGAGTCATAAGCCATTTAATGTGACTTCAAGAATTCTGTGAGTCAGTTTTGATGAAGTCATCGGGTACATTACTGTTTCCAACAACAAATGATGTGCGCTATAACCTGTACAGCTCTATTCTCTTATTGTGTGTCACCAAGAGTAACATCATCTTTATTTCGGCATAATTTCACTCTTAATATAGCCTTAAACTCTGAATTTATGGATTGTTTTTACATCATTTAGTACCTGTCAAGTACTTGACTTGGTGTACACTTTGTAAAGTTGTTGAGATCTCTTCTAAAGCCTTAAAGGAGACAAATATGAGAGTCCCAGAGTCTTTAGTGTAGGAGAAAAGTCTGAGCACAGTGTGTGATGATGATGAGATCTCTTCTAAAGCTTTAAAGCAGACCATCGTGAGAGTGATAGACGTTTTGTCTCAGGAGACAAGTGTGAGAAACAGGAGACTCATTAATAAGTAACCTCATTTCTGTCTTGGAGAAATATTTGAGATGTTAAAGAGATCTCACTTTTGATTTTTTTTCCTCTGAGGGAATAAGAAGAGTAGCGTTTTATTACACATTAACAATGAGTTTGGTTTTGCAGATATGCACACAGTGAGGAGAACATGAGGGCATTTAGCTGTTGGAGAGGTTGATGGTTTGAGGAAAGAAACTGTTATTTTTGTCTGTTCTGGTTCTCAGTGTCGACCGGATGGCAGCCGATCAAAGATGAAAAGCCCTGGTTGTGAGGTAGCCCTGAGCCCTTTTCTTATTCTGGGTGTGTTCAGTTCTTGAAGGGCGGCCAGGAGCAACAATACCTGGAAATCCTTTAGGGAACACATATTCGCTATTAATTAAGAGTTAATAATGAATGTGTGTTCAGTGTTCCCTAATCTAAAGCCTTAGCCAATACTCTTCTCAGCAGTCTGGACTGTCTTTTGTAGTTTTCTGATATCTGATTTGATTGCTGAGCCAAACAAACCAGCCTAGAAATTCATTCTGGTTTTGGAGATTCAGTCACCCATCTAGAAATGTTTCATGTTCTGGTAATGTTTTCAGCGGCAAGTTTTATTTTAGTTCCCAGAATGTTCTGCTAAAAGGTAGGATAACATTCTCTAAAAACATTCTAAAAATGTTTATTGGTAACATTGTTAGAACATTATCCTCTAACATTCTAATAAAGCTTCCCATCACACTAGATGTGGACTTAGATGTGGATGTCAAGCTCCAGCATAAATAACTCCAAAAACAGCATTACCAGCTTCACTTACAAAACAGATTGACTTTATTTCTGTCAAACATTTACAAATGTTCTTATTGAGATTAACAGAGGTTTAGATGTTGATGTCTGTTTGAAAGTAATAGTTTGGCTTGATGTCATCATTATGGTGAGAAGTGTTTGCTTTAGTTGGGCAATTTGACTCTTGACTTTCTGATGTTTTCTCTAGCTGTTGTAACTATGTTTGTTATGTCAAAAGCAGCAAGAGAAAATGCAGTGATCTGATTACTGATCTCATCTAGAGTCTAATCTATGTGGTTAATTTCATGTAAGAGACTATAGCGATGTGTTTCAACAGCATAAGCTCCAGAATCTCAACAATGGTGACATGCTTCATGCTACAATGTATTCTGGGTGCATCATACAAAACTCATGCAGGGCTCCCAGAATACATTGCAGCATGAAGCATGTCACCATTGTTGAGATTCATACACTGATTCTTGATGTCTGTGTGTGTCTAAGCACTCAGTAGTTCAAAGTGATTTGTGAACAATGTGTTTTAAAAATTACGGATAGAAATACAGATTATCTGATTAGAACATTGCTGGAGCTTATGCTTTTGAAACACATCGCTATAGTCTCTAACATGAAATTAACCACATAGATTAGACTCTAGATGAGATCAATAATCAGATCACTGCATTTTCTCTTGCTGCTTTTGACATAACAAACAGTTACAACAGCTAGAGAAAACATCAGAAAGTCAAGAGTCAAATTGCCCAACTAAAGCAAACACTTCTCACCATAATGGTGGCATCAAACCAAACTATTACTTTCAAACAGATATTACATTTAGTCATTTAGCAGACGTTTTTATCCAAAGCGACTTACAATTGGGGGAT